AATACATCAAGTCCTGTATTAGCCAGTAACTTTGCCGATGTTCTTCGGAATGAATGGCCTGTATATGTTTCAGGATGTTCTAGTTTCAAAAACTGTGCATCTTATTAGGAATCATAGAAAAGGTATTCTTGCCGACTGGTTGGTTGTAACATTTACCTGCTTGATAGGGCATAAAAAAGCTTGAAATTTCAGTTTTAATTTCCAATCTAATCTTGATTTATTTCTTGAGAATTTCTAGGTGAGAGACAGAGCTCAGACGAGAAGTAATTATTGTAAAAGTACTTGACATACCATTTTTAGAATATGGAATTGTAACTACAGTAATGTCATCGAAAATTGACGTTGTCCAAAGTAAGTCTGCATAACACATCAGAACGGCATGCTCCTGCAATGCCTAAGACCGTCACTACCTTCATTAGCAAATATGTGTTATAGGGTGCCTGACCGAGAAAATCGTTGACTTGTTCTCTTGTAAAAACATTTGACTTTTTAGGTGTGTAGCCGTTATTCTTACGTTTCAAAAATGCTCTCAGTTTGCGGTATGGAGTTACACAACTTTTTCTAAATTTAACCTTCAAATCACCTTGAACCTGACGTGATGGAGCTTAAATAACCTTGGATTCGCGTTCAGTGACCTCAAAAACATTCAGACGAATTTTTTCAAATTTTTCAGACTGATTTTAACTTTTCTATACACAATACTTCATGAATGACCTTGAATGACCTCTTGGGTGTATCTTAGGGGTAAACAAACCTCGGATTCGGGTTCAGTGACCTCTAAAACATATGCATGAATGAATTTTTTTCAGATTTTTCAGACTGATTTTAACTTTTTATCCAAAATACTTCATGAATTACCTTGAAATGACCTTAAGTGACCTCTTGGGTATATCGTAGGGGGTAAACAAACCTCGGATTCGGGTTCAGTGACCTTTAAAACATAAGCATGAACTTTTTCAGATTTTTCAGACTGAATTTAATTTTTTATTCAAAATACTTCATGAATGACCTTGAAATGACCTTGAATGACCTCTTGGGTGTATCGTAGGAGTAAACAAACCACGGATTCGGGTTCAATGACCTCCAAAATATAAGCATGAATTTTTTCAGATTTTTTGGAGGTCATTTCTTGATTTGACCTTCAAATCACCTTGATCCTAGTGTGATGGAGCTTAACCGACCTCGGATTCGTGATCAGCGACCCATATATACCATGGTCACCTCTGACGATTGTCCCAAGATCAAATGTTGACCTGTGTATTATTCATAAAAGAAATATCATATAATTTTAATAACATAAAATAAATAGCTTTGTTTGCTATTGTGATAAAATTAAAATTGATCTGCGAAAAAATTATTTGTTTAACTTGGCAGTAAATTAGATTTATTGCTTTGACTGCTTTAGTAGACTCGCCTGCGCCTCCGTCTGTTAAATACCCGTCGTGGCATTAAATCTTGTACTTTACTTCCAAGTTAAACAAATAACTATTAAAATAATGTATAAAAAGAGAGACAACATTTGTCCTCTGGCCGTTTTTTCATGTCATCAACCGTCTCACCGGCTCCAAAGTGAATTATTATCATTTATTGGACGTGATAATAAAATATCGCTCTCCTTTTCACGTGTGCCGGCATTTATCATTGTTATTATGAATTCCTGTCACGCCCATCGCAAATAAAACGGGTCGCCTTCGAAACATCACACGATTACTGCTTGTACATCGCTGCCGTCTCCGAAATGAATAACTGACTTTTTTCATCCTAGCAACGAAAAACCCGAACGAGATATATGGCTTATGTTCGGGCCCCGAGAAAAATTGGAGGCCTATAAGAACAAATGAAAACCGTTATCGGATAAATATTTTCGCCAGTTTACCGCCGAATTTCGCCGCCAATAGACGGGGGCCCTTTGTGAAGAATTGTTTTTCGAGCCCGCCGAATTAAAAGTGTGCTGGCTCATCTTTTATGCCATTAAGTGGGCCTGTATAGAAAGGATGGTGAAAAAAAAATAACAAAGTAGTTGCCCTTTTAAACAAAAGCATTACGCAGTTGATGGAAGCTAGACCTCGATAGACAGGATCGATATCGCCAAAAAAATTTACAGATTCGGGGGAGGATTGTTATATTTAAGAGCGCTAGGTAGATGAGCGACTGTGGTGTGCTTATTGAGAGATTTTTGCAGATTCCATTTAACAAATATTTATTTAGTATTACTGTGGTTTCTATAGAGTTCTTATTATCGTGGTTTATTGTTTACATCATCCTTGTAAGTATTGCAATGCAAAATTTTAATTTATGGCGAAGCATGACAAAATGCATTAGCAGAGCATTTACCAGATAAACACGTGTTAATGTTCCCACTTTGATGGGTATTATAAAAATAGAGAACGTAATTAGTGATCCTTGATGAGTACCAGGTGAAGAAAAATGATTTGTTGATGACTGGTGGTGACTGACATAAGGAATATATGCTGACTAGCAAGAGCATTCTTTTTGTTTTTTTTTTACCGTAGTTTTTACTAATATTGGATATTTTCTTAGTGTAACGTTATTTGTTTTGTTAAAAACTTAAAGCAGGTCTCGTATCTGGAACACTTTGAAGTGCGCTTTTAGAAAAGTTAATAAAAAAACTGTTTATTAAAAGTTTTATGGATCTATCTTCCTCGGCTATTCGCGAGAGTAGCTGAGGATTGAATAATCACTCATGAAGATAATAAATTTCTAGAGTGGTCCGTAAAAGTAACACCTCATTCATAAAAAGTGGGGAACGCATCGTAAAAATATTGGTTTTACGTTTTCCATATTCGAAAGTATAACAAACTCTTAGCCCACTTGGTTTTATTACGCAATCATGGTGGGTCCTAAAAGCGTTTTACGGTTTAAACAAGTCCTGTTATATTTACAATTTCTTTGAAATATGAAATACTTGATTCCAAGTTTTAGAGGTTAATAAATTATGAACGTGATGGGACGGGAGTTGTTTTTTTTATTTTTTTCATTGCCTTGTTAAAATATTTCAATTACGTTATGCTTACCGTAACATTGTCATAAAAAAGGTTTACATTTAAAACTCTCGTTTTTGAGATACAGGATGTGAAAATTTAAAAAATCATCTAAATAACTCTGTGCGCCTATAAATCAGGACACTCTGTATACCGGATGATTCAGAACTTATAAAAAAAAATTTGGCGGTACAGGGAACTCTTACAAATACCATTTGACATACCTGATGTTACAAGAACTGTTCAAAATTTTGTCCACCAACATGTAAACACATTTGGGTCCTTCTTACTCAGTTTATACGAACTAACACAAATGTTATCTTGCTTCACCATAATTAAAACGATATCCAACAACTCCGAGTTGCTATACGAGTACACGCAAACCACTTTTGACACTAATAACTAAAAAAACAATTGTAAACACTATCGCAACGACGATTGTAAAATCGGATTTCAGTATTCGGAGACGCTGAGGCCACGTGGCCCTCCACGCGTATTGCGAATGACGCTAGAAACTGCAGTTGTCCAGCTATGTAATGGTTGAAAGAACTACAATTTAAATAATTTTTTTCTCTAAAACTAAGGATTTTACAAAAATTTTTTTTACGATATTGACTCCATTTGTCATCCCGCATCTATTCCCAAATTTTTTTGGATGAGTTGTGAATCACCCTGTATGTTTCTACTGGTATTACTTTAAACTATTCAATTATCCATCATACAAAATATTTCGAGCGAATCTATCAAAAAGTAGACTGAATTTTTATGAAATAAAGTAATGCCTTGCCAAATTTTTTTTAATTTTAACTTTAATTTGTGGGTCTCATACAGTGCCCAAATAATAGACAGTGACTAATTTTTTGGTCATGTAGATAAGTGCAACAAGTAAGGCGTGCAGGTAGTGCTATTCCATGGGCGTATCGTTTTAGAGGGGTCCAAAAATTGTTAAATATAGGTACATAGGACAACAAATCCATTTGTCGATTTCGAAAAAAACTAAATTTTCCTTATAAATTTACATTATGGGCTTAGCGAATCCTGCCAACCCACCGTCATGTAGTTTCATGTAGTCATAGAATGAAATCATGAACTCGAATCTATTTCCAACCACTGAGTACTCAAGTCTTGAAAGCCACTTTCTAGAGGACTCTCTTGATGTTTGGGTCAGAACACGAATTGCTCCGGGAATTCTGAGTTTCAAAAGCACTGGGATACACTGGTGTAGTCCATGATCAAACTATTTTTTATTGTATTGGTGTATTAATAATGGTCGTGGTTTCTCAGAGACCGCATTTTTTTCTGTTGACGATTCTTCTAAACATGTTTTTTATCTGCTGTTGATATTTAAATCTTTCTAAAGGTCGTTCATTTATTTTGAGATAGTAAATCTACATTTTAAATATTCAACACACTGTTATTTAAAACAAAAAACTATATTCACCAATTTGGTTCTTTTCTATTAACATACTTTTCCCATTTCGTTTTAAGCAACAGAAATTCATTTCATCCATAAGAACGATCTATAACAAATTTTCATCTGTTGTCCTTGCAGTGTGAATTTTCTTTAATGTCCAAATTTAATTTTTCTAATTTTAACATAAACTAACATATTTTGTTATTGAAACAAGTGTCAAAACGTTCTACTTTATGGTAACTAGTTACATAATAAAAACCATTATGCAACTGGTTACGAAAAGTTTCTTATGTCACTAATTGCAAAAAGAATTAAACAAAATTCAACAGAAAAATAATAAAGTAACTTTTATTTAAGTCAGTAATTTTATAAATAACACTTTATTAATTATTTATTATTATTTAATTATAAATATTCACAACGCAGTTGGTACAGTTAGTGAATTAAAAGATTATTGTCATCCGCCTCCGTCAAAAACTTCGCAATATTTACTTTTGAAACAACGTTTGATTTCTTAGCGTGGTATCCATCAGAATGCCTTTTCAAAAATGCTATCAAACTAATGTATGTTTTAATGTGCATACCTTTTTTTAAAGACAGCCCAGTTCTCAACATGGAGTACTTATCCATAGCGTAGAAGTCTTCAAATTCTTCTTCCCTTCAAAATATGCCAATAGTACTTTCTCATTGACGTGTTTTACTTTCCTCTCTTCACGCCATTTCTCAAATTTTTCATAAAGTCATTTACCGCTTTGGATTTTTCATCAGTCAGTGAACATACGGAATTTCTTGCCGTTTCCTCGATAACACTCGGTATATCGTCAGAATCTGAACATAAATCACACATTTTTCCTAATAAATGGTAATAGTAACGATCAGCGTCTCAGAATAGATCAGCGTCTATTAAATGTCAAGTCAAATGACAAGAAAATTTAAACTGACACTGACCTACTTGATAATTGTTATTTAAATTATACTTGTAATTGATCAAAATTAAAAACTTGTAGGTATTTCCCATTTTTCGTCAAAATTAGAAATCTCATACGTAATCAGTTATGAAACATGATTTTATCTAACTCGTGCAATATTGCGCAAACTTGCACTCGTCACATAAAATCATACTTTTCATAACTGATTACATAAATAGCTACATATTTTAAAAGATAATACGTCCATCCCATTTGTACGCTTATGACAAGCACTCACACTCATATATAAACTGAGACAGGGAGAGATTTCAATAGCTAAGTCAAATCGCGCAGTCTCTGTGGTCTCTCTTTTTGTACAAATAAGCAAAGGTAGAAATGCGTGCTTGTAACAATGGCTCCTAATCATCTTTCACAAAGCTGATGTCTTTTTGAGTGCATTAGTAGTCTTACTCGCTTTAAATTAACACGCGACGCAAGAAACAGTGCCTCAACGGACTTTCCAGCGTCCGCCAAAGCGCAGCAATAAGCTGAAAACGTATTTACCTCGAGCTGGGGCAAATAAGTAGGCGCTCCGAAAAGCCTAAACTCATCACAATCGAAACACCCCTTTATTGTCTCAATATTCCGGCTCATCCACTTAAAAACCACAACTTGTATATTTTCTTTCCAGGCCTTCTCCGCAATTTTATAATACGACGATAAAACCCAAACGCCGCCGTCGATGTTTCGGCTTTATTTCGGCGTTCTGCCAAACCCAAATAGCCCAACTTTGATATTTAGCATTTTTATGATGGGTTATGGTTAATTGAAACTCGGGGGAGGGCTAACTATGGGCTTTTTATGTGGCGTAATAAGGGGGGATCCGGGACCTTGTAATTCCGGGAAAGATGAAGACCGGGACATACTGCCTGGGAACATCTTTCAAAAGACATATTGTTTGTGTCATTCAAATGGAAATTTCTGGATTACGCTCTATTTCAATGTTAAAACTTTAGTTAGGTTTCATCTACACTGAAGAAAAAATCTTGGTTGAAACTATTGGGAAGTTTTTGCTTCTTGAAAATCGATAAAATTGCGAAAATTTAAAAAAATACATATTTTTTCAATTATATTTGTTTACCAGAGTTAAATAATAATTTACATACAACGATTTCTTTGAAGAACTTTATATTAGCACCTATCCAAGAGTTGTATAAATAAATTTCTCGGAAGAAAGTAAAAAAAATTAAATTGGAATATGTAATGCTGATGATTGAACGAATCATGGAATTTAGACTGAATATTAAGTCCTCTGGGCGGTATTCACATTTGCTATGTGTACTAGTTTCTAGCGTTTCAGTGCATGGTTTGCAGCCACTGTTTGTGACTTTCCTGTTCTCGATATTTACGTATAGGTGTTATCCAAAGTTTAAACTTTCGTTTTGTTTTTTTTGGGGGGGGACTTATACAGGTCTGGTCATATTTTTATTTCCGATACAAAGTTACTAAATTATATAAATATTTCACCAGTCTCCCCTAATACTTCTGACTCCGCCCCCACATATAAGTTTATGCTATCGATATAACGGAATAAAAAAACGCCAAAACTTATGACAAATATTTCTAATTTTAAGCCGTAATTCGTCCAAATTTGCGGCTCTTTCGTGTCGATGTTTGCAGAGAAGTTGCGTTAAATGACTCCATGAAAAGAAGTCGCAGGGTGTCAGATCTGGAAATCGAGGAGGCCAAAGTATGATACCTCTTGTGGAAATAAGCCTTTCAGGAAAAGTTTGTTCCAAATAATCTTTGGAGGACATCCGTCTTGCTGAAATAAATTTCCTTAAATTTACCTTTTGAGGGTACTGCGTTCTTGATGGTATACTTAAATGCTTGTTTTCCCGAGACCAATATTGGACCAGTGAAGGATTATGACAGACAAGTAGGGAAAAAGATGATTCGTCTGTAAATAAAATCTGCCTAGCAAATTCATTATTTTCATCTATTTTTTCCCTAATGTATTCACAAAACTCCATACGCCTTATTTGATCACCAGGAATAATTTCTTGAGAAGTTTTCATTTTATAGGCTTTGTAACCATTCTTTTTTAAGATGCGACGAACTGTACGACTTGGAATGTTAAGTTCTTCGGAAATTTGGGAGGCAGAACACGGCTCACTTACTTCCACAAAAGCACAGACATTAACCTCTCTTTCTCTCCTTGCTTCAGGAATTTGACGAGGTTCCTGACTGCTACATTTCGTACACCGATTAACACATCCATACTCCTTAAACTTATGACAAATATTTAAAACAGTTCTAACAGTGGGGACTGGTTCGTCGGGGTATGAAAATATAAATCAACCAACGACTTCCTCTGCACTTTCTACACGACAATGCCATTTAATAATATTAATTTTTTGTTCGACACTGTACACCATTTTCATTTTGTGATACTCCGTCTACTGCTTGCCAAAGGTTTGAGTAGAATAATAATAAAAATAAACAAAAAAACAGCAAAGCGCTTTAGGTATTCGGTCGATTCACAAAAAATGCAACGGGGCACGTGCGCTCCCAAAGTCAACCAATTGCGAGAGTCCGAGTCGCAGCCTCGATGATATATGTCATGTCCGACCCATTCCACCCGAAGTTGATAGGGAAGATGCGTGTAATTTACTTAGTCTATGCGAAAGAATTACCTGGCCAGACCGGTATAGCTTCTCTGTAGAGTTTTGGTCAAACCGCTATGGCACTACACTGTTTTTGTTTCAAACGACAAAACCTCGACCTAATCAAATAGTTTGAAAACTTATGTCTTTGCAGTGTCTATAACAACAAACCACAAATTATATGGCGCTGAATACACATTCAACCCCTCTCTGGAATTGCATCGTTGTAGGCAATGCATAAATTCATATCAGTGCGAGGCACATCTAATATCATTGATTTAAACTTGCAAATTCGCTTAGTTCCCGTTCAGTTTTTAATCTACGCGCAAAGCATAACTTTTAATTTCCTTTGGACCTATCGATATGCATAGTATGAATTTTTGGAATCGATCAGAAAAAAGTAGAGATGGGCAAAACTGCTACACCTCTAAAACGTTACAACCAGTATAGTTCCAGAGAGATACCGTTAATTTATAACGACATCGTTATAATATTTATATGATATAATTATATCACATCACACGTCATATCACATCACATATTACATCACATCACACGTCACATTTCATGAATTTCTGGAAAATTTAAAAATTTGCACACGATGGTCAAGACACTGCGCAATTTTTAATTTTTTAAAGCAACAATATAGTTTAAATAATAGGTTTATAGAGATTATTTGAAATTTGTGACATTACAAAGCACATGTGGAGGTTGTTATGAAATATTACAAAGGCTCTTTGTACACTTGAATTTCTTTTCTTTTTTAATATGTTCAGCGCTGTCTACTGCCCGAGGTCTACATAATAATGATATACGCCCCCCTCCCCCACACAGACCTCCGTAGCCTCTTTGAGAGACCCCAAGTTTCCGCCTTGGTGGAAGTTCATGAGGAATTCCTTCCTAATCCCATGCATTTACATTGTGTAAATCTGGTAAACACTGCAGACCAGCTGATAACAAGGGCTCATCTCGCTTTGTCTCACGGCTTTAATCAGGGACACCCGGCTAGTTTGCGTGAGTTGTTAGCCCCCAAATCCGGCGGATATCGCAGCGGATGCCTCGAAATCGAGAGGGCGGCTATTTAAGTAGTCTCAAAACATGGATATGGCATTAGGGGGGCGGATTTGATGCGCCGGGGGCCTATTCGGATAGGAATGATAAGGCATTATGTGTTTGGAAGGACAGGCTCAACTGAAACATGACATGCTATCGAGATATAAAGATCTCTTTAAGAAAATAAGAGAATCTTAATTAAGTTTATCGCGTATTAGGGAGAGCATCGACTATCGTACCACTTAAGTGTGTCAATCTAATAACTGAATGATAACCAGCTGTATCTTTTTAAAATTCAGTCAACAGAGTGTTCAATTGCTGTTAACACACTACGCGGCAGCTAATTTTTGTCCGGGAACACGTCGACACAAGGGAAAGGGAGCGTAAGACACACAAAATTTTGATCTTAAAATGCAAACTTTAATGTAGACTAAAATGTATAAAATTCTATGACTTAGATTAATCAGGTAATGATTTTGTGAAAATGATTAATTAAAAAAGTACTTAAAATTACTTAAATACTACTAGTATGCAACACAATAAAGCGTTAAAAAGCGTTTAAAATGGTGTTTTCTCAAGAACAAAAAGTGTTTATCATAGAGTCCTACTTTAGAAATGGACGCAAGATTGATGGAATATGGAAGTATTCTATCGAGGAATGTTTCATAGAATTTCAAAATCAATTTCCCGGTGTTGTTGAGTACAAAATTTTTCAAAGTGCAGTTCAGCGTTGTGTTAATGTTTTTCGTGAAACGGGCAGTGTAACAAGAAAAGAAGGAAGCGGCCGACCTAAAAAGCGGACTGAAGAATTAAAAGAAAATGTCCAACAAATAATGAAAAATGCGCCAAGAACTTCTGTACGTGTTTTATCACAAATGGTGGGAGTATCAGTCGGTACCTGCCACACAGTGTTAAAAAAAGATTTGCGTTTGTTCTCCTATCGTTTAACTTGTCAGCAAGAACTTCATAAAGTTGATTTTCCGTGACGGGCTGTATTTTGTGAATGGTTTTTAAACAACTACGGTGAACTTCATAATATCACCTTTTTTTCTGATGAAGCCTGGTTTCATTTAAGTGGTTACGTAAACTCACAGAATATGAGAATGTGGTCTTCTGAAAAACCAGATAACTTTTTTGTCGAGGGCTCTCTACACGCTCAAAAAATTGGAGTTTGTTGTGCTCTCAATCGAAGGAGGATTTA